AAGTGTGGTTACTGCCAGCTGCTTGTTGGTAAATTGACATGTGTGTGAAACAGGAACCTTTTCAGAATAAAATAAAATTTCTTCATTAGTTCTCATAATTCCTTCAAATGGTCTTGCAGTTTTGATACGTCATGTAATGATGTACTGGTACTTCCATTAAATGATAAAGGAGAAAGTAAATTGCTTTTATAATAAAACCAGCTTGGGGAATCTGTGTAACAACAGTGTAAAGAGGCCACAAGACAATTAAATGCTTATGAGAATTACCCCATTAAGGTCGACATTCTCCACATCCAAGAATACTTGTATATACATTCCTGGAAATGACACCTGACTCCAGGCTGGTGGCTCCTCAGTGTTGCTGGGTTAAAGACAAGCCCAAACAACAGTTCTTGATCAGTCTACAAAAGCCAAAGAACTGCTGTGGCTCCAAGCATGTTTAAAAGCATTAATAATAGGTGGGATCTAAGTGATAGAATAAGGACTTTCTATGGCATTGTGGTGTTACGATCTGCTTATGGTAATCTAAACAGTCTCACCTCTATCCCTCATCTCCCCTCTGAGCCAAACACTTATCGACTCTCTGAGTAGCGGCCCGCCAGCACATGTTCCCAACTATTGAAAAAAAGGGTAAAAATAACAGGAACAAGTTGTCGGAAATGAAATTTCAATTCATCCAGTCCCTTTATACACTGGTGCGAGAGCCTGTCGTTGAGAGGGAGGGATCAATAGTGTTTAGACAGCGGGGCAGATTTTCTAAGCGCTGGATCAATAGGAAGGAGAGAGGAAAAAATACCCTGGCTTTTCTCTGGCTGTTGTAGTAAATACGAACAAATCAGTGGCCTTAGGCTAAATGGATTGACCAGCTGTTTCCGAGTTCTGTGTTGTAAATAAAGATCCATTCTGAGGTGTGTAACTGAGGCTCAAAGGCAAAAGTGTCACTATTCAGGTTGGGCCTGCACAGGTTGTGCTGGACCACACAAGTGTCCTGATCAGAGGGTGAGGAAGATCAGGGAACAGAGGACAAGCTAGAAAGCCAAGGACAGCGAATCACAATAACTTATTAGGGTAGCTCAAATAACCTTTCACACGATTTAAACTTCAATAATTACATACACGGGGAGAACATAGTTACTTTCTTTCTTTATTTTATACATCTGGTTAAGTTTGAAATGTCCAACATTTGCCACTTTTTATCTAGACCTTCACTGCATTACATAGCACTGAAGTGGGAGGCATTTTTCCACATGTGTTGCTAGGTGTTGCACATTTTATTGCCTTCTGAGAAGCATAGCAATACTCCGCTTCACTCTAATTTGGAATTCTATTGGTGCATTTACTCTTCCTTTCAATCACAAATAAATGTGGGAATGGCAATTTTATTTCTAAAGCACATTTTTATTACAAACAAGCTCAGAAGACGTGAAATTTTTTACCTCTACTTGCATGTGCCAGCATCTCTCTTCCATCTGGTAATAAACATTGTACTGCTTCTGAAATGGAAATAGAACATATATTTATAACACAAGTACATAAATATAATCCAAACACCACACAAGTTTGTTGCACTCGTCAGCTCTAGAGACAGTGCGGCCATTTTTTATTTATTCATTTATTTAACTGTAGGATCAACAACAACTCGCCCTACATCATTTTACTTACATAATGAAATAAATCAATAATACAGTACTAGTTCTTAATATTATTTTGCAAACCAATAAGTTTAAGCACGTGTACTGTTTCAAGCTGTAAATTCACATTTCCTAGGACATTTACATTTCATTTTCAATAAAAACGGGTGTTATGCAACTTTTTAACACTGGTGATGTAAAATGGAGACAGAAAGCAGCATGTCTACAAAAAAAAAATCACTATTATGTTTTGCAAGTATATGACTAACAAAGAGTGACAGAAGAAAACATAAAAACACAATATTTCGACTGATTAAAATAAGCTACTACATGAGAAATGTACAGACTGGTTCATGACCTAGGCATCTATGGCAGGTTAAATATTTCCACCAATATACTGAGCTAATCAAGGGGGTGAGATCCTGACAGGATGACTGATGGCCCGATTGCTTTGCACCACCTCTGGACTTATTAAAGAAAAACACCACAGGCCATGCTTTCACAAAACTCATTGGTCAACCACAGTGGAGAAAGTGATGGGTGAAATTCATCACTAAAAACTATCGAGCCCAAACAAAACACACATTGGGGCACAGAACTACACAAGAACCTCTGGTCATCAGGGTACTGATTGCCTTCAGACTCGGGGAGAAGACACTTTAAAGGACATGAGTGTAGGGAAAAGGATGGCTGCTGAGTCTCGCCGCAGGGTTCACAAGGAAAAATAGAAGAAAGAATTCTTAGACTTTGCTCTGCAGCACTTGGAAACACCATTCGTTCCTCAGAAGAAATATGGCTCAAATTCCCTTCCTCCAAACATTTTCTTATGCTCAGAAGAGTAACTGTTGAAACTTTATCAAACTGACGCCTGGAGAAAGGAAACCATATATAACCACATTCTCTTTCACTACACCAATCATATTGTTTTCTAAGGTATCTTTTTAATGTAAGAAATGCACAAAGACATCACAGAAAACATGCTGTAGAACTGCTGGAACGTAACAGTCACACAATCTTCACGAGAATACATAAACAGAGCAGCTAGACATGTTGTACAACTCATTTGAGGGCAATTTCACAGTGTAATTGAGGCTTTGTGTGTATATGCGCCTGTTTGCAAGTGCTGCCTTTCACTGATTAAGGTGACCTTAGATTGTGCACTTACCGAATCTCGGGCTGAGCAGCAGAGGTTAGAGCACAACTCATTGGCTTCCTGAACACATTACCTTAATGATGCCATTCCTCACGCCTCCATTTCAACACATTTAGAGATGGAGCAGTTACATCGTCTATTAAGACATTCAAATGTCTCCCCTAGCTATTTACCCACTGCTCGAGCACAAAAGGGTAGCCCGAATTAACTGTGACAGCGCTGACTCGTTTCCCTTTCCAAACAGACAAAATACATAGAAAAAGTCATCATGCGGGAAAGGTCATTAAAAATTTAGATTACAGCTTCCTTGCTTTCCCGAAAACTCTTGTCTTTCTCTGCCTGTTAATGGGATTGTTTTAATATTAAAGTGTTCATTATGACAGATTGTGAGGCTGACTCTCAATGCTGCTTGTTTTCCTGTTCCTGGCATGTGATCAAACCTCATTTACCCGACTGGGGGATTGAATGAAATGTGCGATTATTAACCCTGTGTCTGCCCCTGGAGGAGGGGGTGGATGTTTGCCTCCTACACATTTTATCTTTTGGTGCACCTGAGTTTAAGCTGTTGCGTTTCCTCTGTTCTGTGAATATTTGCAAAAGATTTTTTTTTTTTTTTAAAAATGCCTTTAAACACACAAAATGCATATAAAGTCTGCCAGAAATGTATTTTTCTTCTTCAGTTCTTGTGGAGGTTACTGTCCAATGAGCAGCACATCCCCAGTGAGTGGTCTTTAATGTTCTCATGCCCCAGCAGACTACCTGCTCCATATTCTGGCCCGAGTAAGCAGCTTCCCCCTCCTGTTTTGAGGTATTTGGGGGTATTTTTGGGAGGAGACAAGGGCTATTGAAAGTGTTTATGTTCCTGGCTTGTACAGAGGGGTCTAATGTGTAACACAGAGCACTTCAGTATTCAGACGCCTGGGGCTATTCTCTAAGTGGTCTTTACTTTGAAAACACAGGTGCCCTCCAGGGCTTGATGAGTGGTTGTTGTGTGCATGTGTGTCCATGTATGAGGAAGCAGTAAGCTGGGAGGGCAGATAAAGGGGCCGCACTGTTTTATCCATACATCATCACTCCATGTTATAATTTGATTCAGTATGGTGGTCTTGCAGAAAGCCCTATGCTATTATCTTTAATAATGCAAGGAGGGATTAGGTACTCACTCTCTTCTGATAAATACAGACAAATCAGTTAATTCCACTGACACTCCCCACCAACTGCCACAACGCATGCACAAGTCCAACTCTGATTTGTTTTCTTTTGCTCTATAAAGCAGAATAGTTTAGTTTTTATGTCCTACTCTAAACCAAAACCATACAGTGCACAAAAGATTTGTTATTGTTACAGAAAACTGTAACATAACTTAGATTTTGATATTTGAAAATCTAATGAGGTCTGGAGGGATCTCATAAATTAGAAAAATAAAGCTGCGCATGCTTCGCTGGTGCCGCTGCATAAAGAAACAGCAACATTTTTCATAAAATTAATAGGAGAGGTTTGACACGTCTCTCGCTATAATTACCAGTCAGGCAACCATGACCAAACAAGAAAATGCATTTTATGCCATACTGTAATATAAACATGCAGCTGTCGTGTAAATACAGCATGACTGCACACATATTCTGACAGTGCCCTAGCGGAAAAGTAGTTTAAATGAGGATAATGAAACAAAATATGAGTTGGCTATGCATTTCACAGAGTTTATGGTGTCAGTGGGTGCAATGCTGATGGAAAGGCCTCATGGCCATTTTAAAGGCAATAGACCACTTAGCAGATCTCAGCTGGTCCTGATGCCGGCAACCTTGATAATGAGGAGCAGCTGGAGCAACAGTCATTAGACCTAGCCATCTCTACCTTCAGGAACTATCTTTTATTTCCATAAAACCTTTTATCCATTTCTGTCGCTGCTGCTATACTGTCTAACACCGACCCAGGGCCATTAATGACTACAGCAGTATAGTAAATGTCATTACATAGCTTGTCTCATCAATACTTCTAAAAACAGAACATCAATGGCAAAAAGAGGCAGAGCAGATATAATATGTTTCTGGTGGTGTCACAATCTTGTAGGTCTAATTAAGCTGGAGTTCAGCAGAAAGGCAGCATGAGAGGAGAAGAGGGAAGGAGAGGGTGACCCAATTAAAACCAATTCGAAACTCAGATTCACTCTTCAGTGTGGCTCACGCACAGACTGAGTGGGAATCTGTGAAAACAAGGAGAACAAGCTTTATTAGTCCCTAAAAAGCCCTGTTGCTACATTAATATTCCAGTCTAATGAAAGCTTAGTTTTCCCCATTTCCCTACACTTGCCTGTCAGTGTTCAGTTCATAAATATTTTCTTATTATGATCGTGACGGGTTTTTTTTCCCCAGATATGAAAAAAATAAATAAAATTCAGAGCCAATTATCAGAATGACAGGTGAAATGGGAGCGCGCTGAGAAGAAATGAAGGGTTGCCATGGTGATATAGCAAAGAATCATAGTGGATACTGTATGTGTGGTCATGTGACCGATGTCTGGCTGAACTGCAGCTACGCTCGGGCCCCTGCACACCAAAGGACACTTAACCTCAATCGCTGGTAGCAATCACAGGCCGATCAAACTGAATTTATTGGCTATTTCTGTCTCCGGGTCAGACCGCCGTAGTGCCTGCAGACTCGACCGCATCCAAATTCAGAACGTTCTTAAACCTTTTGACTAATGACAGCTTTAGAGGGCTTGGTACAGAGCTAAGGCATGCTCATATATGCATTTATAGAATCTACATGAGGAAAAAAAAAAAGTCATCTGAGTTTTTATATAAATCACAAAAACCTCTGCAGAGATGTAAACTATAAAATTATGGTTATGGTTTTGATGGAGTTACATTTAGGTAAAAAGAGAAAGGCTTTTGTCTGTGAATTTTGTAAAAATATCTATATGTTCTGATTTAAGAGACTACAGTGCTGAGATAAAGTATTTGCTGTATTTCTGAGTTTGTCACACTTAAATGTTTCAGATGACCAGAAAATTCTGATATCAGACAAAGAAAACATGAGTAAATACAAAAGCTGGTTTATAAATGAAGATTTCATTTATTAAGGGGAAAAAGTTATCCAAACTTTCCTGGCCCTGTGTCAAAAAGTAACTGCCCCCTAAACCTAACAACTGGTTTTGCCACTCTTGGCAGCAAAACGTGCAACAAAGAGTTTGGCAACGCGTTATTCACATTGCTGTGGGGGAATTTTAGCCGACTCTTATTTGGAGACTTGCTTAAATTTAGCCACATTGGCGGGTTGTAAAGTATGAACAGCCTGTTTAAGGTCATGCATAATCATCGCAATCAGATTCAAATCTGAGCTAGACTACTCTAAGACCTTCTTTTTGTTTTTTTAGCCATCAGAGGCAGACCTGTTTCAGATCAGTGTCCAACTGGAGAACTCAAGTGAGTTTGAGCTTCAAGGCACAAACTGATAGCCAAACGTCTCCTTTAGGATTTCCTGATAGAGAGCAAAATTCATGGTTTCATCAATTACGGAAAGTCGTCTCCTTCCTAAGCAGCAAAGCAGCTCCAGTCCATCACACTACCACCACCGTGTTTGACTCCTGGTATGACGTTCTTTATATGAAAATAAATTAACTGTAATTAACCACATTTTTTTGAAAGCTGAGTTCAATTCCTCTAGCCAAATCCACACCTGCTTACTACCAGACCAGTTGAATCAACTAA